AACACAAGCACACAAACGCTGGAATGATATGCACATTCGCAATATGTGTGAATGGATGAAATGTTTTGTCAGTTTGCTTCTTTTATTTCGAAAGAATATAGAAACGGCGAGAAGTTGTTATGATATGTTTCATATTTTAGTAATTTGAAAGATTCCGTTCCGTTCCGTTAAATACCAATATCCACACGGGTAATGGTATTTTGCGGAACGGAACGGAACCGGAAGAAAATTATTCAGAAGTAAGGTCAATAATTAATATTTAACTTTTTCCTTGCGAATGTCCTTAGTATATTTTAGAATTGATCTTAATGTAGAAATAGGCTTTGTGTTTTTGCTAGCTTAAGTAACAAACTTGTTAATTCACCCGTGTAGATAACTATAAATGGATTAAAGAATGAAATAAAAGTTGACGTTTTACACAACACAAGCACACAAACGCTGGAATGATATGCACATTCGCAATATGTGTGAATGGATGAAATGTTTTGTCAGTTTGCTTCTTTTATTTCGAAAGAATATAGAAACGGCGAGAAGTTGTTATGATATGTTTCATATTTTAGTAATTTGAAAGATTCCGTTCCGTTCCGTTAAATACCAATATCCACACGGGTAATGGTATTTTGCGGAACGGAACGGAATCGAATCATATTAAAGAAATCAGAAGTATAGTAGTATAGTAACTGCATTTGTTATATCATTATTCATTCTAATGTATTTCAAATAAAAAAAAATCAAGTATTTTACCGAAGTTATCCCTGCGCTGCGAATGCGCTTTGTATAATATGAATTGTACTTGATATAAGCATTGTGATTAGTTCTGCCGTGACAATAATATTTAATGGATTGAAGAATGAAATAAGAGTTGTCGTTGTACACAACACAAGCACACAAACGTGGAAATTAATGATCAGCACATACAAAAGATGACTGAATTGATTTGATAGCTTGATTCATTCATCTCTAAAGAATCTGAAGAAAAAAGTTATAGGAACGGCGAGTAGTTATTATGATATTTTTTATTATTTAAAAAGTTTGAAAGGTTCCGTTCCGTTCCGTTAAATACCAATATCCACCTGGGTAATGGTATTTTGCGGAACGGAACGGAATCAGAAGAAAATTATTCAGAAGAGAGATTACTTGACAGAGGCGGATCCAGCAATTTGGAAAGGGGGGGGGGGTCCATTTGATGAAAATCAATATGTGCAAAATTAATCATTTGTCAATAAACAATGACTTTTTGAACGTTTTCAGTGCGTATACAACTGTATTTAATAAACATTTATCTCATCACTATCTATTTCACATCTATTTCAACATCAGAGTGCACTGCATTATTGAGCGTTTTGCCATTTTGGTTTAGTTAAGGAAGATTTGCATAATATCTAGCCTTAAGAAACCCAAGTTTCCAGCAATGAGAAAGTGCGTCTATGCTTAATAACTCAGACTAATAACGACAAACTAATAAAAAAAATGGATATTTTGGTAATTTTTTTTATTTCTTTGATGTTTTAAATCTGAACTATTTATCGATTTTGATTTCTATCGATTGCCTTCTTAAATAAAGGTCTAAATGATAGGATATGACAAAAGAATGGTGATAATTTATCTGCTGAAAAGATGGTACGTGTGTAATACATTGGTAAAAGCAATTGTCGTCCCAGGGAACTTGATGTGACCTCTGTAACGGGTGCGCTACATCATCCGGACTAGTACAGATGCGATCATATTGAAAAAAATTTAAAAAGTTTTGAAAAGTTGTGCATTTTCATAATGGTTTACATATTACCCCTTACACGGTATTTTTGTAACAGAATTTCCGATTCTTGGAAACAAAACAAAAAAAGGCTTTCTTTTGTGTTTCATGTGGGTATGAAGGTAGTTAGCATTCCAGAAAAATAGAATTACCCGCATAAGCGGGTCGTGTAGTTTTCTTTGTATTTTTCGTATGAAACAAAGTAAAACTCATCTATTATCACTATTTAAGTTAATTAACTAAACAATACATTTGAATGCGGCTTTTTAAAGTAAAACGAATGCATGTACTCGTACTCGATGGCTTGTCAGTTCAAAACTGTATGAACTATAATCGATTTTTTAAAAAAGAAATAGAGTAGAAAAATACATTGTAGATGTTATTATAAATCTGTGATACTGCTTAATTTTATGTATTTTTTCTTTAATTTTCCACATGTTTACTCAGTGTAGTAAACACCGGATGTTGAAGGGGAGTACAATGTACTTTATTTCGATAAAAAATCGATAGGGATTTTTCATATAAGAACAAAATCATGGGACGTAGTACGAAATTCTTTAAATAAGCAATTTTAAAAGCATTTATTTGAGATAATTACAGTATTTCTATTATAAATTTGGAAAATTGCCTTTAAATAGGCATTTAACGTTTTCAAAAAAAATTCTTAGGTCCCAGAGAAAGGGGGGGGGTTCTTGAGTATTTTTAATCGATGTTGCGCATAGATCTATTGCGTTTTGTTTAAATCTCAATTTTATATGTACAGTGTCAATCTTACATCTTAAAACAACCAGTGCCTTTTAGATTTTTTTTTCGGGAAAGAAACGTGTAATGACTTATAGGGCAATGCGTGGCATATATCATGTAATACACAGTGCTTTAAAACATCAAAACTTGAGGGAAAAAAACCTTCCATATAAGATGGGTTTAATTGAAATAATGGCGTTTTTTAATTTCTGTTTCCCCGTTAGGGGCCTCTTAACTGGTTCCATTCCGTTCCGTTCCGCAAAGTACTAATAGCTAGTGGCTGCAGTTCTGATCCAAATTTACTGGAAATTTGTCAGGAAGGTTGTTTAATGATTTCTAGGTCAAATTTGAATATGGGTTGTCTCCGGTCAAAAACAAGGTCACATTGCCCAAATATGGAAAAACCTTTTTAACACACTAGAGGTCACATTTTTGATTCAATTGTCATCAAACTTGGCCAGGATGCTTGTCTAAGACATTGCTTGGATGCGGTTGATGGGTCAGGGGAGCGATCCAGGGCCATTATGGCCCTCTTGTTTAAAGTTAACTTGAATGATTTTTCTTTTGAAAATAATAATTGCCTGTGTCATAGAAAATAGCTAGGGGTATTTGTGTCTCCTGTGACAGCTCTGATTTATTTTGCCAGAGGCCAATTTGAATGGACTTTGCACAAGTTGCCATCCACTGTACGCAATGAACAGACTTGTAATAAGGGTCTCTCTTTTATGTAGGAATTCATAAAAGGGCATAGAGGAAAATAATTATAAACTGAATAGTTAAGAAATTTTTTTTTTCAGATTACACCAAATGCCAGTTTATATCCAGTATACACAGGTTACAATCCACTTAATGACAGACATATCTATGATGGTGGATAAAATAAAAATAATAACAAAATAGTGGATAAACAATATGAACTATTAACTAATAATGAAAACAAATTTATTATTAATACCCCCACAAACGAAGTTTAGGGGGTATATAGGAGTCATCTTGTTGGTTGGTTTGATGGTCCATCAGTTGGTCTTCTCCATGGTTTCTGGATGATAATTAGAGTTTGTAATGAGGTGTTGTAATCCAACTTGGTATATAAGCTTTTATATGAAGACCCCGGTTGGTATTGCTTTTTGATCCCCTGGGTCACCCTTACTAAAAATAGAAAAATGGTTCACAGACAATAACTAGAGTTAGGAATGAGGTAGTGTGATCAAACTTGATGTAAAATTAGCTTATATGAAGATCCAGGCTGGTATTGTATTTGGACCCCCTGGAGTGAAGGTCATTGTTTCTTAAAATAGAAAAATGGATTCTGGACAATAACTAGAGTTAGGCATGAGATATTTTAATCAAATTTAGTGTAAAGCAAGCTTATATGAAGACCCTGGTTAGGATTGCATTTGGACCCCTGGGGTCAAGGTCACTTTTACATGGTTTCCAGACATGAACTAGACTTAGGAATGAGATAGGGTAATCTAACTTGATGTATAACAAGCTTATATGAAGACCCCAGTTGTTATTGCATCTGGATCCTTAGGGTCAAGGTCATTGTTACTTGAAATAGAAAAATGGTTTCTGGACATAACTACAGTTAGGAATGAGATATTTTAATCAAATTTAGTGTAAAGCAAGCTTAAAAGAAGACCCTGGTTGGGATTGCAATTAATTGAAATAATTCTTTGTACTCAGTTGAAACTTTATAAATTACAGGTCAAGTTGAAATTTTTCTTCAGACCACTTATTTTTTTAAAGTCAAGGTTGCTGGTGGTCTTTAGTGATAGCTTTAGTTTGCATCTACTTTACACAGGACACCACTTTTAATCCATTTTTCAACAGTTTCCACCCACTTAACACCATTTAATGTTACTTTACACCACTTTTTGTACTTTAGGCACACTGCTGGGCTTGTTGCACAGTCCATACTATAGCTTAAAATCTGTAATGGATTTAACTCATTACAGTGTTGGAGCAGACACTTGACTGAAAATATGATAACAAATAAAAAAAATACCATTTTTAATGTCGATTTTTTTCTGTTTTCATTCATCATCACACTTAATTCAGTGTGAGAAGATGAATTACCTGTTAAAAAGCACATTCCAGGTGATGATAAGGCAGGATTTTAGCATTTCATCTTTCTGACCCCCATCTGGATAGTACTGAAATACAGCATACAGTGTGATGCTCCAACATATTTTTTAGTCTTGCGCATTTGTACTTAATTCTGATATGAAACTTGACAGTGTTTTATTTTCCAGTTTGTTGTTTCTTTCGTCTTATTAAATAATTTTGAAGCAGAAATTAAACCCATTTCACATTTCAAAAGCATTGCTAGCTGCAATCTTCATAGACCAGGTTGTACACCTAGCCAAAAAAATCTGAAATCCTAGTTGGTCATATTGTTAGCTATTTTGTTAGCAATGGGTCTTTATCAACAGAAATTAAAAACAAAAGTGAACGACTGTGTTAAAAAAGTATTAATGAATTATGCCTTTTTTTCCTTCAGGAATGGATATTGCAAACACCTACCTTAGGGAAACAGCATCAGACTCAGAGGACTTAAATGAACATAACATACAAACATCATCTTGCTCTGCTGTCAGGCATTCTAGGGTGGAAGAAGAACTTTCTGCCAGAAAAACATTGGTATGTGCCATGGCAAATTTGTCTATTAAAATTTTTATATCATTATATAAATATCAGACTCCCGATTTACTTATCATACCCCCCGAAACGAAGTTAGAAGTCACCCGAGGGTCGGTTGGTTGGTCGGTCATTCAGTCGGTCCAGACGTCCGTTGCATTTTCCTTGTCCAGAGCATAACTTGAAAACCATTAGTAAGAATTCAATGCAACTTCATACAATGATCAAGCACATAGAGAGAAAGTGCAGTGCACAAGAACCATAACTCCATCTTGACTAATTACAGAGTTATTGCCCTTTAATACTTTTCCTTGTCCTGAGCATAACTTGAAAATTACTGGTTGGAATTCAAACAACTTCATACAATGGTCAAGCAAGCACAATAAGGGGAAGTGCAGTGCAGAAGAACCATAACTCTATCTAAAGTAATTACAGAGTTATTGCCCTTTGTTACTTTTCCATTGCTCTCATTTGTACGGACCATAACTTGAAGACTAATGGTTGAAATTCAGTATAACTTCAAACAATGGTCAAGCACATTGAGAGAAAGTGCAGTGCTCAAGAACCAAAACTCCATCTAAAATAATTACAGAGTTATTGCCCTTTGTTATTATTTCATTGCTTTTTTGTCCAAATCATAACTTGAAGAGTAATGGATGGAATTCAATACAACTTCATACAATGATCAAGGACATTGAGAGGAAGTGCAGTGCACAAGAACCATAACTCCATCTTGACTAATTACAGAGTTATTGCCCTTTGTTACTTTTCCTTGTCCGGAGCATAACTTGAAAACTACAAGTTGAAATTCAATACAACTTCATTTCATACTATTATCAAGCACATTAAGAGGAAGTGCAGTGCACAAGAACCATAAATCTGTCCAGGGTAATTATAGAGTTATTGCCCTTTGTTACTTTTCCATTGCTTTTTTCTTGTCCAGAGTACTAGTTGGAATTCATACTATTGTCAAGTATATTGAGAGAAAGGGCAGTGCACAGAAACCATAACTCTTTCTTGACTCATTTTAGAGTTTTTGCCCTTGGTTACTTGTATTGTCCAGTGCATAACTTGAAAATTAATGGTTGGAATTCAAAGAAACTTCAAACATTGGTCAAGGGCAGTGAGATGAAGTGCAGTGCACTAGAACCATAACTCTATTTGGACTAATTACAGTTATTGCCTTTTGTTACTTTTTTTGTCCAGTGCATAACTTGAAAACTAGTAGTTGGAATTCAATACAACTTCATACAATGATCAAGTGCAATGAGAGGAAGTGCAGTGTACAAAAACTATAACTCCATCTTCAGTATTTGTAGAGTTATTGCCCTTTGTTCCTTTCCTTGTCAAGTGCATACCTTAAAAACTAATGTTTAAAATTCAATGAAACTGCATTCAATGGTCAAGTGCATGAGAGGAAGTGCAGTGCTCAAGAAGTGTAACTATTTTTGGACTTATTACAGAGTAATTCAATAAAACTGCATCAATGGTCAAACACATTGAAAGGAAATGCAACTTACAAGAACTACAACTATCTTTAATTGCCCACAACTATAACTCTATTTCAGTTCTTTTGCACGGTATTCTGTTACTAGTAACTTCCTCATTTCTGAAGCAGTCTTGCGGGGGGTATTAATCACATTTAGTGATAGTTCTAGTTGAATTTGGTTATTAATTTCATTTAAAACCTGTACTTTAAATGAATAAACAGATTTGATTTTTTTTCTCCAGAAAAATTCGAGAAGGGACTTTAAACATGGTCATCATCAAACAGTAAACATAAGATGGCACAAGAGGGACTCTGAAATGGTCACAACATATTTTTCAAATTGTATTTATGATGTATCAAGATATGATGCTAAAGGTGCTTTACCAGGTAAATAAAACATTTCCTTTCTAGCTCACTAGCACACTGCTCATTCCTGTGGAGTTTTGTCAAAATCAACCTTATGGTTAACTAGGAAATATTATTTACAGAAATTGTGAAGAAGACAGAGGATGGACACCCCTTCCATTGTAAAGTGCTCATGTGAGCTAACAATTGTCCACATGCTGGCAGCTGAGCTATGTAACATTTGACATGTTATTCATGTTAATTTTCTGAAAATCTGTAAAATATAATAAGTACTGACAGGGAATTAATAATCAGAACAAATCATGGTACTCTGAAGTAGAGGGTTAAACGACATCTCCTTGACTATTGGGAAGATTTTGATAAAACTACATAGGAATGGTCCTTTGATGGTCCTTAATAGACTGAGTCATCTTTAAAAAAATACTTAATGCTCTGGAATATAAAATTTCCTGGCAGACATTTACACTGTTAGTCCTATGCAAAACCTGAAACACACAAAAAAAAATCTTGTTAATTATGAGCATACTATTAAAAATGGCAGATGCTAATTCACCAAATTAATGACCTGTATTGAAGAAGACCATTTTTAGCATTGTGTCTCAGTTGAGGAATGAAGGGCCAAAATGGCCCTCTTGTCTTTTTTTGACTAACAAAAAGGAGTATATGGTGTGGTATTTTACAGATTGCTCAATGGTTCAATTGTATAATGTTTGTTTGACTTCCTTCTTTCTATGCTTCCAAACAACTTGGCAGCTGTTGCCATTGACACTGGCCATCCTGAACTTTTGTACAGACTCAGTATCAAATGTCTTAAATTCAAATAGCTAATAAATAGGAATGTTCTCTACCAAGAGGTGTGCATAATAGCAGCATTTCCTTCTTCATTAATTTTGATATGCCGAAGGGTAAGTACAGTTATATTATGACACTGTGCTAGTCTGCTCTCCTAAGTAGACATTAAGGGATGAATGTCTATCGTAATGATGCTCCCCTTCAAAGATGTTTTGATATTATTTTGCACTTGTTTGTCGGTCCATAGACCAAACCATTTCTAATCAAAAACCCTTAATCTAGGAACTTGAAATTTAGTATGGAGATTGGTCATGACCAGGTGATGACCCCTATTGTTTTGGGGTCAGTGGTCAGTGTCACATTGACCTTGTATATCAAAACAGCTTCCCACCAATAATGATAACACCTATTCATGCTAGGGTCAAAAGATAAAAAGTCATGGACCCTCCGCCCTTAAACTTCACAAGTGCGTTGGACTTTAACAGAGGATGAAGCCCTTTGATTTTAGGGTCAAAGGTCACGATCACATTGAACTTGTATGTGAGACAATTTCTGACCAATCACTCAACAACTCAAGGGCTGTCTACCCTTCAACTCCGGAAGTGCATTGGACTTTTCCAGAAAATGAGCTCTTGATTTGAGGGTCAAAGGTTTTGTTGACCTTATATGTCAAAACAGTTTCAGGCCATAAACTTGACAACTAGTAGGCCCTTGGCCCTCAGACTTAACATTTGCATAAGCCTTGGTAAGTAGGTAATTCCTTTTAATCTTTTGATAAATGGTTTAAAGGTTAAGCTCACTTGACCATGTATTCATTACATTTACAGACCATTTTCTGGATAACTCATGGGCATTTGGCCCTCAAACTTCACAGATTTATTGGTCTCGGCCAGTAGATGACCTCTATAGACTTAAGGGAAGTAGGGTCAAAGGTCAATGTCACATTTACCTTGTATTTCAAATAGTTTCAGATCAATAACTCAACAACCAATGGGCCCCTGACCCCAAGTTCACATGTGCATCGGTCTTGGCGAGTTGATGATCCTGATTGGATGGTTGCAGGGTCGAATGCTTAGGTCACATTGAAATTGTTTAACAAGATAGATTCCAACCAATAATTTGACAAACTTCAAAGTCGATGATGGATTTTGACTAGACTTTACAAGAATCTGATGCATAAGTAGATCACAAGAGCTAAATATAGACTTAAAAAAATCTTCTCCTCATTAACTTCAATACCCAGAGCTTAGATATTTAGCATGTAGCATTACCTTAAAGTCCTCTAAAATGGCATAAAGCATTACCTTATAGTCCTATAAAAAAGTTATTATGCTCCCCGAAGGGAGAGCATATAGTCTCCGCCTTGTCCGTCTGCCCAAGCTCACAAATGGATACTTATGTGGCTAGAGGGACAATAGGTAACTGTACTTTCTCTTTGATGTCATTCATTCTGTAAGGCTTTTATGTGGCTATTTCCTTTTATGTGGCTAAAAAGAACAATAGAGAGAACAATAAGGTTGCCACATTATTTTTGTCTCGTTGGAACTTCCGTCCGTCCGAGCTCGCAAATGGATACTTATGTGGCTAGAGGGACAATAGGTAACTGTACTTTCTCTTTGATGTCATTCATTCCGTAAGGCTTTTATGTGGCTATTTTAAGTGGCTAAAAAGAACAAATGAGAGAACAATAGAGTAGCCACATTATTACTGTCTGCTTAGAATGTTCGTTGGCTTGTCCAGAGCATAACTTGAAAACCCTTGCAGGTAATTTGTTTAAACTTCACACAGTGGTAGAGGTAACTGAGGCGGAGTGCAGTGTGAAAGAACCATAACTCTATTTTGCCTGGTTTTTTAATTATCTTCCTTTTTAGAAAAATCTTGTCCAGGATATATCTCTTTAACTATTTGTGACATCAACATGAAACTTTGTAGGTAAATAGATCTCATTGGCTAGAAGTGCAGTAAGAACCATAACTCTATTTTGCCGAGTTCTTGAATTATCTCCCTTTTTAGAAAAATCTTGTCAGGGACATAACTTTAAAACAAGAAGAGATATCAACATGAAACTTGGCAGGTAGATGGTTCTCATTGGGTAGAAGTGCAGTGCCAAAGAACCATAAGTCTGTTTGTCCCATTTTTATGCTCCCCAAAGGGAGAGCATATAGTCGCCACCTTGTCCGTCTGTTGTCTTGTCCGGAGCATAATTTGAAAACCCTTGGATATAATTTGTTTAAACTTCATACAGTGGTAGAGGGCATTGAGGGGGAGTGCAGTGCACAAGAACCATAACTCTATTTTGCCCGGTTTTTTTTATTATCTCCCCTTTTAGAAAAACATTGTCTGGGACTTAACTCTAAAACTACAAGACATATCAACATGAAAGGTTGTAGGTAGATAGAGCTCAATGGGTAGATGTGCAGTGCACAAGAACTTGAACTCTGTTTTGCCAAATTTTATAGTTATTGCCCTTTGTTAATTTTAACACTTTTAACTTTGTCCGGAACATAACTCTAAAACTATAAGAGATATCAACATGAAACATTGTAGGTAGATATATCTCATTGAGTAGAAGTGCAGTGCAAAAGAACCATAACTCTGTTAAGCCTCATTTTTGAATTATCTCCCCTTTTAGAAAAATCTTGTCCAGGACATAGCTGTAAAACTATAAGAGATATCAACAAGGAACTTTCTTGGTAGATAGATCTCATTGAGTAAAAGTGAGTACAAAAAAAAACATAACTGTTTTGCCCAATTTTTGAATAATCTCCCCTTTTAAAAAAATCTTGTCCGGGAAATAACTCTATAACTACCAAGAGATATCAACATGAAACTTTGTGGGTAGATAGAGCTCAATGATTGGATATGCAATGCATAAGAACTTGAACTCTGCCATGCCAAATTTTGTAGTAATTGCCCTTTGTTCATTTTTACATTTTGAACTTTGTCCGAGACATAACTCAGAAACCATAAGAGGTATCAACAAGAAACTTTGTAGGTTGATAGATCACATTGATTAGAAGTGCAGTGCAAAGAACAGTAACTCTGCCTTGCCTAATTTTGGAATTATTGCACTTTGAACTTTTTTCAGGGACATAACTCTGAAACTACAAGAGGTGTACTTTCCTGTGTCCAAAACCTATTCGGGGAGCATCACCCGGCTCAAACCGGGCTCTTGTTTAAATAATGTCTCTGGGGTCACAATTGGCCCCAACCCCAGGTCACTCAGTATATATTGAGTTATATAGGGAAACATATTCCAACATTCTCATGGAGGGGGCCTGTAGCCTCATGGTTAGGATAATTGACTTCAAACCATTTGTCTCTCACCACTGAAGGTACATGCTTTACCATCGACTTTGGATTTTTCATTTGTGAAAGTTATCCAGCTAGCTTACGGAAGGACTGTTCTACTCAGATGCCCGTTTTTTGCCTGAAATAATGTACAAAGGGGCACCCCAGGTCTTCCTCCACCAATAAAGCTGAAAAGTCACCATATGACCTATGCTATGTTGGTGCAAAGATTACTCAACCAAAAATAAGTCCTTCTCATGGGAAACTACAATGCCAAGGGCTTAGATATTTGGCATATAGCATTTCCTACAAACCCTTACAAAAGTAATATAAATGGTCTCAGTCAGATGCATAAGTTGGTCACAAGAGCTGAAAATAGACTTTAAAAAGTGTAATGTTAAAAAAATTTCTCCTCATAAACTACTATACCCTGAGCTTATAAATTTGGCATGTAGCATCACCTTATAGTCGTCTACAAAAGTTATATAAATCATGTCTTTGGATTGACCCCACCCACTGGGTCACTTATTTTATACAGAGTTTTATAGTAAAATTATTTTTAACCTTCTCATGGAAAAAAACGATGCCCAGAACTCAGATATTTTGAATGTGGTATAACCTGGTAAACTTCTACAAAAATAATACAAATGGTTCCAGTCTGTTGCCTAAGAAGGTCACAATGGCAAAAAAATAGACTTTAAAAATGCAATCTTTAAAAATCTTTTTCTCATAAAATATAATGCCTAGAGCTTAGATATTTGGCATAACCTTGCAGTCTTCTACAATATATACATATATATGTATATATATATATATATATATAGTCAAAATTGCTCAACCGGCCACCTTTATAAGAGCCCCACCTGCTTAAGTTTGCCACCTTTTAACATCTCCAATGTAAATTACTATATAAATGACTATGTAATTGCAAGACAGCCACCTGTTCGACGCGGCCAATGGCCACCTATTTTTGTCCCCCAATTACAAAAAGTTCTGTAAGAATCCGCCAGCATCAGTATGGTTGCAGCCATTTTGCATCCTATATTTTTTCTTTATTATCCCCATATTGTACCGTTTAACAAAAAAAATCACTGGTACTTGTTAGAATTCTTCTGAACGCAAATATAACTGTTGTTTGTTTAAAAAATTTAACCTATAAGATTTTATATGGGCATCTCACCGAAATACACTGCATCTCCGTTATAGCACCCAGACCGCGAGATCGCACATGAATTTGTCTGCGGAAGGAATTGGTTTATCTGCAGGCCATATAGAACTTATATAGGACGTATACCCCACCCATTGCTTTTTGTACTTAGTTAGCCTGATGAACACATAAACTTTTACAACATTGAATAGTTCATTATTTCATAATATAAATGAAATAAATAAATTCTTGATTATCACTTTTTTCAATTGAAAAAATTTCATGGAATCAGCAATTAAATAATTGGCGCGGCATTTCGCGAGTAAAGGTTAGACAGTGCTCAACTTATAAAAAAGAGTGAACCGGTGAAAAACTTGTCAAAAATTGTTGGAAGGAAAATTTGTAAAAAAATTAGATGTTGGATACTTTCAGTTTTATTTTGAAATTTTTTATGGGTTTCTAGGAGTAACTTTACTGTAATCAAGTTGATTTTGGTAACGTAACAGACCCAAATATTATGGATACCAGATTATTTTCACTGCCTGATAAAAGTTATGATTAAGCTTAAGCTCAAAAAGGTTGAAATCTCAAATTGGCGAATTTGTTCATCTTCCATGATATTCTAAGTTGCATTTTAAAACAATGCCCTACTGTCCTCAGCTGATCATTCTAGGGTCAATGGCCCCTTTTGTTTTCATAATGCACTTGATGAATATCCTTGATATTTTGAATGGTTTGTAATAATTGTTGTTTTATATTGTAGGATATAAAGAAATACAGAAATTTATAAGGATCCATCCAGATGTTCTATCTGAACTTTCGATATCAGAGAGGATATGGAAAATCCATACTAAAATAAACAATGAAAGAAATAAGTCTAGACGACTAGCTAGAAAAACAATGCAGGAAAAATAATAGCAGATATCAATTATATTTCTTAGTTTGAAAATATTTCATTTATTTACAATACTGGAAATACTTAGAAAACTAAAATGTGTTTATTGTAAGTTTTGAATGAAAGAGGTATAAATTGAGTATATTCACCTGGAGTATGAGGACAGAGTTAATTTAGAATGCTTGTGAATTTGATATTTGGTTTGTACTTGTATGACAAATGTTTTTGTTATTAACAAAATAATTATTTATGATTTATTTTGAAAATTAGAAAATGTTCCGCTACAAATTGATAATTGCAAGATAATGATACAACTAATTTGATATATATAATGTTAAGTGAGATTGTTAATCCCCTTCTGCAAAGCGTGGAGGGGATTATAGGAATGGCCTCCATGACTGTCCATCTGTTACACTTTTCCGCTCCATAACTTTCAAACCACTTAGAAATTTTTTTAAATAACTTGGCACAAGTGGTCAGCATTTTGAGACAATATGCAGAGCAAAATAATTGGGTCACTCCCTCCAAGGTCAAGGTCAAACTTTAAGGTCAAGCGTTAAAAGTCCACATTTGTGTTCGCTCCATAACTTAAACTGCTGAAAAATTTTTTAAATCACTTGGCATAAGTGATCACCACAATGTTCAGAGCGAAATATTTGGGTTGCAACCCCCAAGGTCAAGTGTTAAAAAGTCTGCATTTCCTGTTCGCTCTATAACTTTTAAATTGCTGTTAAATTTTTAAAATAACTTGGCACAAGTAATCACCATTATGAGATGATGTGTAGAGAGCAATAATTGGGTTGCTTCTCTTAAGATCAAGGTCACAAAGGTTAAGTGTAAAAAAGTCCAATTTCAAGCCTGCTCCATAGATTTCAAGGTCAAAGCAATTATATTATCTTAAATATTTAGAATATGTGAAGTGAATTCTTCCATCATGGAAGGTCTTTAATGTCATTTATTTTATTGGCCGGTTTACATAGTTGCAAACTTGGGTTATGGTATGGTGAATGTCGGGTGGCAGGCGAGGAAAATATATTTGTAACAGTTTTCTCAGCAACTACTTATCACAGCCTCTTGATATTTGGTATACAGCATGAAGGCATGGTCCCATATCGTGGGATTCGATTTCAGGTCTGTCGCTCATCCAACTCCTGTTAACCGACTTAGTTAAACTTTCGACATAAATGGCCAATGGCAGGAAATTTTCGTAACAGTTTTCTCAGCAACTTCTTATCACAGCCTCTTGATATTTTGTATGCAGCATGAACACGTGGTCCCATATCGTTGGATTCAATTTCATTTAAATTATTATAATTTAAATGCAACCTGGCCATTTCGGTCTTTGACCCATTTTGTTGAAAGTAGTATCAAACTCTACAACAAACAGAATAAAATATGGAGGTGTGAGATAAATGATCCAATATTACATATTGTTTTGTAGCACATAATAATTCATTATACAAATCATTATTATTGTTTCTTATATTATGATATTAAATCTGTCAAATCTATTAAACATCTTTTTCAGGAAATATAACGTAATACTGTTCAAACAATACTTTATTATGAACCTGGTTTTCAACGAAAACCAGTTATTGTAATGATGAAGTTGCCTGGATGGCATGCAGGCATCAACTTTGGGTTTCCGTTCAATAACTTGAGTTTGCTTTGGTCTATTGATGCCAAATTTGGTGAGTTGAAGGCAGCTTCGGATTGCTACCCTAGTGTCTGTGATCAAGGTCAAAGTCATTGTTGAAAAAAGTATTTCAGTTTCAACTCAATAACATGGGTTTGCATTGGCCTATTGATACAGAGCATGTTGTATGAGTAGCCTATATCAAAAGGCAGCTTGTAAAAGATTCTGGGAAAAATTGATCCTTCAGAAGCACTAAATACACCAAAATAATATGAAAATTGCAGACTCGGTTTGATTGAGTCTGTACATGAGGGATAATGATTACGTGTAACATCCCTCACGCTCCCTAGCACTGGCTTGAGCGGTACTCAACTTTCAAGATTCATCATGTTGGATTCAATAGTCCTGAAGGACCAGAAAATACTACCCAGATGTCTGTGATTGAGGTCAAGTTCACTGTTACTAAAAATAATGATTCATTTTCCACTAAATAACTTTTTTGCTTAACAGAGTTTGCTTTGGCCTATTGAAACCAAACTTGGTATGTTGGTAGCTTATATAAAGAGGCAGCTTGGGATTGCTACATAGATGTTTGTGACTAATTTTAAGGTCACTTATGCTAAAACTTATAATTCAGTTTCCTGTAAATAACTTTGCTTTGGACCATGGACACCAAGCTTGGTGTATTGGTATATCAAGAGGCAGCTTGGAACTGCTATCCATTTGTCTGCAGTCAAGGTCACTGTTGCTGAAAATAGAAATACAGTTTCATGCAACAACTTGATTTTGCTTAGGCCTATTGAAGCTGAACTTTGTATCTGGGTAGTTTATATCAAGAGGTAGCTTTGGGTCTGTGATAAAGGTCATGGACACTGTTGTTTAAAATAGACATTCACTTTCCACATAATTACTTCAGTTTGATGTGGCTTATTGATACCAAACTTGGTGTGTGTGTGTAGCTTATATCAATACGCTCACAAGAATGCTACCCAGATATCTGTGATCAAGGTACTAGAAAAGGACAATGATGCTAAAAGAAGAAATTCTATTTCCACTAAAAAACTAGTTTGTTTTGGCCTATTGACCCTAATCTTGAAGTATCGGTAGCTTATATCAAGAAGCAGCTTGATATTACCACCCAGATGTCTTTGATCAAGGACAAGGTTGCTGTGGTTAAAATTAGAAATTAAGTGTCAGCTCAATATCTTCAGTTTGGTTTGACCTTTTGGCACCAAACATAGTATGTGAGTATCTTTTATCACTACCCTTTTGATTAAGGTCAAGATCACTGTTGTTAAAAATAGAAATTCAGTTTCCTTATAATAACTTTAGTTAGCTGTGACCTATTGACAGCAAATTTAGTGAGTGGGTAGCTTATATCAAGAGGCAACTCGGGATTGCTACCCAAATGTCCTTGATCAAGGTCAATGTCACTTGCTTAAACTAGAAATTCAGTCTCCTTATAATAACTTGAGTTAACTTTGACCTATTGACACCAAATTTAGTGTGTTGGTAGCTTAAATCAAGGCACAACTTAAGATGAGCTACCCAGGTGTCTGTAAACAAGGTCACGGTCACTTGCAATTAACCTAATAACAATATAATGTTTTCTTCACTACCATATATCATTCCTAATTCCTGTCACATCAATACTTGGTTGTTGAAAACCTGGTTTCATTGCATTGTGGTGCTTCTTGTTGTTTTTATCAGTATATCAAAATATTGACCCATAGCATTAATATTTCTGGAATTATTGCCTCCCCCATTGAAAATTGTTACATTTTAAAGTATTATCTTTTTTATTTTATATAATTATTATGTAGTCCAGACTTAAGATAATTATTCTTTGTCATTACTCACATCATGTATGACAAGGTTCATATCTTTAGCATCTCATTTCAAGAGTTACTTTCTTTTTATATGCCCGAAAGAATTTTTGGCATATTATGTTATACCCCCTGGCGTCCGTCCGTCTGTCCGGACATGCCACTTAAATGGACTAAAGGGCCATTTCTTTTGTTATTTTCTTTTGTTTAATAGAGGGCCATGGCCCCTTATTCTATTGTTACGGAATGAACTCTATTGTTCTCTTTTGTTCTGTTTACAGTTAGATGGCCCCCTACTTCTCTTAAATAGCATGGACGGACGTCCGTCCGTCCGTCCGTTAGCAATTTGGTTTCCGGAGCATAACTTAAGTTCCATTTGGCCCACAATATTCAAACTTCATAGGATGATTGTCCATATTGGGTAGAAGACCCCTATTGATTTTAGGGTCACAAGGTCAAAGTCACTATTACCTTAAAGCTGAAAACGGTTTCGGGAGCATAACACAAGTTCCATTTGGCCCACAATATTCAAACTTCATAGGATGATTGTCCATATTGGGTAGAAGACCCCTATCGATTTTGGGGTCACAAGGTCAAAGGTCAAGGTCACTATTACCTTAAAGTCAAGGTCACTTTTACCTTAAAACTGAAAACAGTTTCCACTTAATAACTTAAGTATAAATCAACCAACAGCTGTAAAATTTTATAGGATGTACAGCCATGTCCAATATATGACCCCTATTTATTTTAGGGTCATAAGGTCAAAGGTCAGGGTCACAATGATCTTTACACTGAAAATTGTTGTTTCTGGAGCATAACACAAGTTTCATTAGGCTTACAGTGTTCAAACTTCATAGGATGATTGCCTATATTGTTTTCCACAATTATTCATAATATGATATTCATATGAAATATTCTAATGTCTTACAAATGCTTCATCTTAACAAAAAAAAACAACACTTTTCGGGCATATAATGCTCCGCCTAGCAGTGCTCTTGTTAAACTTATAATTCTACTTTAAAAACTTCATATACTTTTTGCTTTTATGATTTTTGTTACTGAAGGGATTGATTTCAGATTTTAAACTGTTGTCTTTTCAGCAGAGCATAGAAATGTCACATGCATATTATGTGGTGCAAAAATATTTAACTTTTGATAGCTTCTATTATTAGTCCCTTTTTATTGATACAGAAATATATTTATTGTCATAATTGATTATTTTTTTCATAGTTTTGTCTTCCTTTACGGCATCCAGTATTCAGTTAGTTAAACGTGGCTGTCTCCTCCGACAGCTCTAATAAATGTTTTAAACATTTTGATTTGAAACAATTATTTCAGTTGATGAATTTCGGTATTTTTCTCTTAAAAATAACCAATAGTCAATCATTTTTCAGAGGTATGATATAGCAGATTATTTAAAGTTTCCTTATTTTACAAAACAAAGCATTTTATAACCAAGTTCAATTTTCATAAATGTGTCCATAAGTATAAATGGCAGTGTTAATTTTGTTTGAATTTTACATACATGTTTCCTTTAAGGAATACTTCTAAACTTTGTTTTCAGTTTTTGTAGTTCTTTATAGCACCTTTTAGAGTAGCACTACCTTAAAGTGTATAAATCTATATCCGATGAAAATTTTTTCCGATATTTAAAAAAAGTAAAATTAAATTGCTTTTATTACCGTATGGTAATTTCTCAAAACAGTTGTGATAGAAATTGCCTCTGTAAATTAACACACATGAATACTGTACGTAAACTTGAATAAAATGTTCAGTCAACTTGAATAAAATGTTCCGGAACAAAATATTCCCCTATTATGTTTACTTGTTTTGTCAATCATATGGGGCATGTTCCACTCGATGTCAATAAATAGGAAGACAAATTTCTTTCTTTTTTAGGTATTCAGTATCTATTCTAATCATGATATAAAGAAAAAAATTGTAATCATAAAACATCAAATACATAGCTTTATACACTTTAAGACGTATACAATATGCAATGGACAGATAAAATAACAAGAGCCACCGCCGGGCGGGGGCAACGCTCGACTTTTTACTTTTTCTAAAAGCAAACAAAGAAATGTTTGAACAAATCTTAACGTTTCCTTTTCATGAAATTTAATCAGTCTGTCTTGTCACATTAGTTTTGTCTATATATTTTGTATATATAAGTAGAAACACGCAATGCATTCTATAAATAGAAACACTCAGTGCATTCTATAAATAGATACACGCAATGCATTCTATAAATAGATAAACGCAATGCATTCTATAAATAGATACACACAATGCATTCTATAAGTTGTTGTTGTTGATGATGATGTTGTGGTTGTTGATGATGATGATGATGATGATGATGATGATAATATATATATATATATATATTTATATATATACATCATAACCCACCAATAAATATATATGGTCATTTAATGCACAAATCTGAGAAAATTCAGTAATTTAACCTTCAAGGTCAAGGTCATTAAAGAGCCCAAGTCAATTTGGGTTTGATAAACAACAATGTCTTGTCCTTAAGAATGTTCTATTATAATATGAAGTTGATCCCTTCAATAATAGCAAAGTTACAGCCAGTTACAACCAAAACAATGAAAATTTCAATAATTTGACATTCAAAGTCAAGGTCATTTATGAGTGAAGGTCAACGTCTGTCTGGTTATTTTTAAGGATTATCCTTGAAGATTATTATGTTCAAGTTTGAAGACAATCCATTCAAAAATAACAAAGTTACAGCCAATAATAGCCAAAAAAATGAAATTTTCAATAATTTGACCTTCAAAGTCAAGGTCATTTATGAGTGAAGGTCAAGGTCTGTGTGCTTATTTTTTAGGGATATCCTTGAAGATTATTGTGTTCAAGTTTGAAGACAATCCATTCAAAAATAACAAAGTTACAGCCAATAATAGCAAGAACAAGCAAAATTTGGACTTTTAACCTTGAAGGTCAAGGTCATTTATGGATAAAGGTCAAGGTTAGTGTGGTCTACTGAAAGGTTTTGTCCCAAGGGTTTTTGTGGCCAAGTATGAAGACAATACATCAAGAAATAAAAAAGTTATGATCCAGGTATAAGTTTGCGGACGGCAACGGCAACGCCGCCGCGACTATAACAATACCTCTTCTTTTTTTTCAAAAAAAAAAAAGTCGAGCTAAAAATGCAAGGCATACAAGTTCACTTTTTCAAAAGTTACACTTTTATATGACTAACTTTTGCAATGAATGCCTTTCATGATGTAGTTCATCTATAGTACATTGTTGAATTTACAGTTTTATCTTACCATCTTATTTGAGTAGTTTACTTTTACTGTTAGGCCTATTCTAAATGTGCATGTCTTAACTATTAAATATTTCAGAAACTTTGTGGTCATGCGATTCTTACATGTTACTTTTATATTTAGCTAGTAACATGATGCCAGATTTTAAATGTTAAGAATGTAATTAATATTTAATGTTAGTTTTATTTCTATAAAATCGTTGATGTCATTTGTTACCTGGATATTAAAAAAATTGTTTACTCATTATTATACCCCCCACAAAGGAAGTTTAGGGGGGGTATATAGGAGTTAGCTTGTCGGTCAGTTGGTTGGTCGCTCGGTCTACTTCATGGTTTCCGGACGATGACTTGAGCTAGGAATGAGATACTGTAATCAAACTTGGTGTATAGCAAGCTTGCATGAATGCCTGGGTTGGTATTGCGTTTGGACCCCCTGGGATCAAAGACAAGGTCACCGTTACTAAAAATAGAAAAATGGTTTCCGGACGATAACTTGAGCTAGGAATGAGATACTGTAATCAAACTTAATGTATAGCAAGCTTGCATGAATACCTGGGTTGGTATTGCGTTTGGACCCCCTGGGGTCAAAGACAAGGTCACCATTACTAAAAATAGAAAACAGCTTTCTTGAAGACCTGGTTGGAATTGCAATTCTTTGTACTCTCTTAAAACTTCATAAATTATAGGTAATCTTCAAACTATTCTTCACACCACTTATTTTTCAAACGTCACGGTTGCTTGTGGGGGTATTAATCACCTTCAGTGATAGGTCTAGTTGCCTTCTGTTACAGTAGATCAAATGAAACATTATTCAAAAGCCATGCATCAGATTAAAGGTTATGTATACAAGATCCAGTTGACAAAAATAACCTTTAATGCATACTTCCATCATCTTTATGCCATAAGTTTACATTATCTCTAGAAAAAGTATAAATTGTAATGAAATGGAAGGTTAATTTTAAGTGTACGAAAGATTTGAAAATCTGCATTTGACGCTAAAGATTATATACATCCTGATGCATGGTTTGTCTTCAGTTTTATGTCAGTATCTCACTTTTGTTGAATATCAATCTGTTAAGTATTTTGACTAATAAATTGTATACTGAAATGTGAATATTTTGTTTTGCATATAATTAACTTGTTATTCTACATGACATAAAGGATAAATTCAGTATTCTAAATTAATTGATGATTACAAAAAATTAAATAGATTATGTTTTCTTTCATTTCCTACAGACAAACATAAACAATTTACCATTCACAAAATTTTAATTATTTGTTTATAAACAATCTTTTGTTTAAAGAATACAAACACTTGTATACAGGTTTCCTTCATTTCATTCCTTGTATTTACATTCCACACATTTATTATGAAAACAGCATGATAGAGCATGATAGAAAAATTATGTTATATATAATTTTATGTTGCCTTGAAAAGGCGACATATAGGGGTTACTTTTGTCGGTGGCTTGGTGTCTGTGGCGTCCCCTAAAGCTTAGTCACTTTAAGTCAGATTGACTTCAAACTTTGTATTCATGCTTCTTTCAATGACCCAAAGTGCACTGCACAGGAATTGTTACCTAGCAATTCTTATTTTCTGAGTTATTGCCCTTTGTTTATTTTCATACTAGGCCATTTCTGCTATGGACTTTAAACTTTATAGGATGATAGATCTCATCGATAAAAAGTGCAGTGCACAAAAACTAGTACATTGTACTTCATGAGTTTTTAGTTATTGCCCTTTGTTTATTTTCATACTTAATTTATGTCTGGTCCATTTCTCTAACAGTATAAAGCTATGGACTTGAAACTTCATAGGATGATAGATCTCATTGAGAAGAAAAGCAGTGCACAAAATTTGGTATGTACTTTGTGATTTTTGAGTTATGGCCATCTGTTAATTTTCGTCCTTTAATTTTGTCCAGGCCATTTCTCCTGAACTATAAAAGCTATGGACTTGAACTTTATAGGATGATAGATCTCGTTGAGAAGAAGTGCAGTGCACAAGAGCTTGTACTCTGCACTTCATTATTTTTTGAGTTATTGCCCTTTGTTTATATCATACTTAACAGGCTTGTCCAGTGAGTTATAGCCCTTTGTCAATTTTCATACTTTATTTTTGTCCAGACCATTTCTCCTACACTATAAAAGCTATTGATTTGAAACTTCATAGGATGATAGAAGAAAAGCAGTGCACAAAATTTGGTATGACTTTTGTGTTGGATATTCAGAAAATTTTCATAATCGATGATTGGATTAAACTTAAAAATGACAATCGATCATCAGTCGGAAAATAATCGAAATCTGTTCAAGTTGACAATAAGTATGGGTAATAAATTGAGATCAATACTAATTACTACATATATGTCAGACCACTTAATCATTATAAGCCTAACATATTTATTTTTGACTGAATCTGATTAATATTGCAATTAATAAAATATATATTGATATATTTCTATAGTAATATCATAAATCTCCTTTAAAGGGCTGCATTTAAACTTACTTTATATATATACTTTATATATACTTACGTATATGTTTGTCTAGGTTCATCTCTGTCCAACAAACTGTTTGATATTTAAGAAATATTTTTTCTAAAAAGGAACAGGTTGGTTCTTTAAGTAGACAAGCCCATTCCCTACACTGGATGTTGATGCCAACTCAGGAAGATTTTAAGGTTAAATCTTGTAATGGATTGACCTGGCACATTCATTATGACTTTATTACTTAATACATTTGAGTAACCATTGAAATGCTAAGAAATTGTTATGCAAATAATTTATTCAGTCCCACCCACCCAGTAAAGCTTTATTTATGGCAGTGACCCTTTTTTTCCTTTCCACTTCATTGCCAGCACTTCTTCATATATTGTAAAATTTGTCATTTTCTTAGAGAGGAGAATTATCACAGTTTTCTGCAGATACATTTATATTTGTATCATCCATTGATAACCATTCTCTTAACTTTGATAGCTTAAGTTTTCTAGCAAGTCTTACTCACTACAGTTTCCCTATACATGGACTCCATAGAAGGCGAACATGACATAAAGTTTTATAAATTCTAATAAATGACAAGGTTTTGCCAAGAAAAGGATGTTTCATTGTCTGCTGTTTTATTATACATCATTTTAATTTTTAAGTCATTTACCAGCTAGAATATTGCACAAAAATAATATTACTGTTCCGATTATAATCGTTTGTCATGAGTATAATTTGATCATCGTAGATGTCAACTGATCAGCAACAATTATTCCATTATATTCAATCATCAGAACATCACTACTCTGCACTTCATGATTTTTGAGTTATTGCCCTTTGTTAAATTTCAAACTTTATTATTGCCTGGGCCAATTCTCTAACACTTAAAAGGCTATTGACTTGAAACTTCATAGGATGATGGATCTCCTTAAGAGGAAGTGCAGTGCACAAAAACTTGTACTCTTCACTTTTATGATTTTTGAGTTATTGCTCTTTGTTTTTTTTTCATACTTAATAGGCTTGTCCAGTGAGTTATAGCCCTTTGTTAATTTTCATACTTCATATTTGTCCGGGCCATTTCTCCCAAACTAGAGTCATCGGTATCAGGGTCTGCAATGTCGGCAGCGTCCCCTTAGGCTTGTTCTGAGGATAACTCAGTCACTCTAAGTCAGATTGACTCCAAACTAGGTATTCATGCTTCTTTCAATTACCCAAAGAGCAGTGTACATGTACATTGCAAGAGCAGTGTTTATAATTACCTATATTTAAGTAGAAAATGCCTAAATGACAGCTTTACTGTTGACTAGGCGACACATCCGCTTGCGGAGTTCTAGTTCTCTTAAAAATAAGGGCATCATTACATTGCTATAATACAATCCTATCAACTTATATGAAAATTTAAATTTTCATGGCTTTAAATCATATCATATTTATTCATAGAAAGCAGACAGTTATGAACATACTTGCTCAGTCAGTTTGTAATTCGGCTAAGCAATCCTACTCCATTATGAGAGGGATGTATACTAAGAACAGCCACCTTTCGCAGTGTCCCAACATAAATTTTGAACCAATAAAAATACCCTAAAAAGTTAGAAGATGAATTAATTGTAATAAAAAGCCAAAACATAAACATTCATCAATTACACATCCTCTATAACAACTTAATAGCAGTGCTTCAAAAAACAGGTAAAAAAGTGATAATCTGTAATTATTATGCATTAATATTGATTGATTTGTCCACTTTATTGTAGTAGATGAAAATCTGTTGCGAAGGAATCGCTTGAAAGGAGGCCTCCGGAATATAAAACTAAATCATATTTTAAAAGGCTCATCCAGCAAAATTCTAAAATTGTCATTTTTAGCTTGACTATTTGATAAAAATAAGTAGAGCTATCCTAGTCACCCGAGCGTCGGCGTAACAACTTACGTTAAAGTTTTTGTACCACCTCAAATATTTTCAAAGTCTATTGAAAAAAGGCTTTGAAACTTTTTGCACTTGTTCACCATCATGCGTCCAACCTTTAGACATGAGGAGGTATCTCTATCATTTTGACAGAATTGTGCCCCTTTTTCGACTTACAATTTACGTTAAAGTTTGCATATCACCTCAAATATTTTCAAAGTCCATCGACATATGGCTTTGAAACTTTGCACACTTGTTCACCATCATGCCTACAATCTTTAGACATGAGGAGGTAACTCTATAAAGAATTTTGACAGAATTGTGCCCCTTTTTCGACTTAGAATTAAATTTTAAGATTGCGTACCACCTCAAATATGTTCAAAGTCCATTGACATATGGCTTTGAAACTTTGCACACTTGTTCACCATCATGCCTTCAAACTTTAGACATGAGGAGGTAAATTTATCAAGCATTTTGACAGAATTATGCCCCTTTTTTGACTCAGAATTTATGTTAAAGTATGCGTACCACCTCAAATATTTTCAAAGTCCATTGACATAATTTTTTTTTATGGCTTTGAAACTTTGCACACTTGTTCAACATCATGCCTTCAAACTTTAGACAGGAGGAGGTAACTCTATCAAGTTTTTTGACAGAATTATGCCCCTTTTTTGACTAAGAATTTTCGTTAAACTTTGTGTACCACCTCAAATACTTTCAATTTCAGTCCATTGACATGTGGCTTTGAAACTTTTTATACTATTCACCTATTACTAGCTACTCTTATAATAATCTTCTAGGATTTATATTTTTATAGTGTCAATTACTCAGAATAGAATAATGCCCCTTTTTTGACTTAGACTTTACAGTTGGCAAACAACCTCAAGGCTTTTTTACTATCAATCACTAAGAATAGTCAAGCATGCTGTCCTACCAACAGCTCTTGTTCAAAATCATTTTAATTTTATTGTCCTGTTTCAGTTTCATAAAGAGTACTTATTGGTCATATAACTCCATTAGCATTATTATTGGCAATTAGTTTAGTACTTTGATTAGAAAATGTGCCTGAAATATGATATTTAGCTATGTTTGTATGCTTTCAATACCAACAGTTTTTGAGGATGAATGTCAGTGTTCATTCCATATAGACATCACTTGTGGGGTAAAAGTTGCTTATTGGGTGAAAATGGATTGCTTATGGGGTTGCAGAGATCAAAAAAGATAAAAAGGAAAATTCCCATATTGTCATCTGCAGAAAAACATCCATCGTCCACGAATACTGGATCCTGTGATAATGAAAAGAGTGCTGAAACTATTTTAGTAGAAACTTAGTATGGAAAGATGGCTGTGTGTATATTTTGCAGATCTTTCTCTTTTCTTCCTATGTTGAAAATATTGGTTGCTATGGTAACAAATAAACTTAAAATGTGGCAAAAAAAATCCCAAGTATTTGTGATAATTGAAAGTACTGAAAGTAACTACTGTTTCCTCTAAAACATTAGCCATATTTTCCTTATTACAGAAAGAGATTTCTTGGCCACAACATCTTGGACAAAACCTACCCCATGACAAATATTTCTGTGACTTTGACCTCTGAATAATCTTTTCCTTAAACATTTTATTGTCTAAAAAACTATAACATTGGCCATATAGTTTCTTTTGTTTTTAAACTATGTTTACATCTTTCTCCTTGATCTGAAGCTTCGAGGTTCATGTTTGAGACCA